AGTTGATATTAGATATATTTTTCATATCAATTTCATAAATGGATATCATCAATCATATATTATATTGAAAAGTTTATTATTGGTGATGAAACATGGTACAGTAAACTAGAAGTTTACTGATATAATTAGATTTATTGTTGGCATGACTTGTTTGATTATCTTAAACTATATAATTATTGAAGATTATGTATTAATATCCATTGAAGAACCAGAAGATTCTTCCGAATAGCCAACATCTTTAAGAATTCGTATGTGTTGCTTGTTCTCAAAGAAAATTAATTATAAAATATCACTAGTTATGTTTTGTTTTCGAATAGATCACTACATTTCTAGAAATATATATGAGCCCATTTAGAAACACATAAGCCATACAAGTATTCAATATTTGATAAATGCATCTATATAAAATGGTAAGATCTATGATTGATATTAATTTGCAACCTGGAGTTTGCAAAATTATTTAGATAAATATTTCTAGACTATGTGATTCTCAAAACTTGATTTTAAAGATGCCAGTGAATTTATATATCAGGCTTTTAATGTTGAAAAGCCTACCTAACAAATTGCTAGCAAAATCATTTTTTAATGCCTCCGTGAATAGCTTGATCAATATTTATGAGAACAAATTTTTTATTGTAGTGTTGGCATATTTGATTTAATATATTGCAGCACTTATAGATATCAAGGCAACAAAATTCTCCCAATAAAATTGGCTTTTGATCAGGAGCAAAATATTTTCCATCTAAAGATTGAAATGTGCAATATTTATTCTTACCAATTCATCACAATGCATATAGATGGATATTAAAAGAAAGTTGGGACATATGTTGGGTAATAACCTCCTTCTTCTTGTTTGTTTTTAAATGGAACAAAATAATATTCCTAAAAGAAGCAAATGGATTTAGGAGACTTATACTACATAATTAGTTAACTGTTATTCGACAAAATTTTCCTAACATGAGGGGGAGAAATTGGGTAGCTGGAAAAGAGAATGCATGGAATGCGTTATTACTATTAAATATAGATCCTCAAATTGAGTATCAGTATGGACCAGAAGTTCATCAAAATTGCATTCATGAAATGCTATAAAATATTTTATTGACGTGAATGAAAATTTTTAAATCTCTTATTCCAGCTGAAAATACTCCAATTAGTATAAATAAAAATAAGACATGTCAAAAGTATGAGAGGTTAATCAGTTCCAACATAAATATATTAAATAAAGAGGAGCATACAACTTAGAAATTATATTGAGGAGGCATGTACTCTAAAAGAGTGTCAAGACATAACTAATTGTAAAACCCCAAAAAAGGTTCAGATACCTGAAAAGGAAGAAAGAGATCTCAACAAGTTATGTCACAAAAGTAAAAATGGAATCGAAAAGGTAAAGTTGTTGACAATGATTTTCATAAGAATATCATGTGATAAAAAGAGGATCTTACACAGAAATCTATAAATTTGGCCAAGAAGGGGGGAAAAAAAAGGGAAAAGACGTGATGAAAATATCATTTCAATATATGAAAATGGGCCTGCAGTCCCAACACATGAAATATAAAGTTTCTATAGAATATATGGACGTTTATGTGAAAATATAGATTTTTACAAATGATTATGATGAGACATATTACTTTGTGGTGGATATAATTTTACATATTTGAATAGTCTGGCATTATGAAATGTGCTTGTTAGATGACCCATGGATGAGGATCATTAAATAGTAAAATTTAATGATAATCCTTGAAGAATCCAAAATATGCCAGCAGCATATATAAGAAAATCTTTCAGTATATGAAATATTATGAAGATTAAAATAATTTCAATATGTATAATCATTTTATAGTTCTAGATCAAAATATATGAAATTCCCTGAAAGATTTCACTTGCGAGAAGCATATAATTCAAGTTCTTGAGAACAATACTTAATTAAGCTAAATAAGTTCTATAAGAATTGAAATGATCAGGGCGTATGTGGTATAACCGACTAAGTAAATATTAGTTGAAAAAATGATATAAAAATGATCCAATTTGCTCATGCATTTTTATGAAAAGATCTAAAAACGAGTTTGTTATAATTGTTTATGTTGATGACATAAATATTATTGGAACTCTTGAAGAGTTTACAAAAGCTATGGATTGCTTAAAGAAAGAATTTGACGTGCAGGACTTGGAAAGAACAAAGTTTTGTTTCGGATTGCAAATTGAATGCTTACGAAATGAAGATTTTTGTGTCAAATGATTGATATAAAAAAGGCCTTAAAGTGTTTTTATATGAATAAATCACATCCATTATATACTTTGATGGTTGTGAGATTTGTGGAGGTGAATAGAGAACTTTTTAGACTTTGAGAAGTTGATGAAGAACTATTTGATCCAGAAGTACCATATGTTAGTACAATTGGTACACTTATATATCTTGCTAGTCACATATGACTTGATATATCATTTGTTGTTAACTTACTAGTAAGATATAGTTCTTCACCAACACGAAGACACTAAAATAAAGGTGGTAAATTCCTTTTTTGATCCACATGTTGGTAATTCCAGATGAAGTATTTCACAATACTTAAAAGATGGTGAAATATATATTTAGCAAATCCATTCTAATGAAAATCTGGCATATTTGTTCACTAAGTCACTTCCTTATATGATATTTGAAAAACTTGTTCATGATATCGGATGCCACAAACTCAAGAATATCAATTGATATTATCAAGAGGGGGAGTTAAATACACACTGTACTCTTTTTTCCTTGTCTATAGTTTTTTTCCTACTGGGTTTTCCTAGTAAGGTTTTTAATGAGGCAGCATCGAATAGCGTATCAGTGAATGTGTACTCTTTTTCTTCTACTAGGTTTTTATCCCACAAGATTTTTCCTAGTTAAAGTTTTTTAATGAGGAACACATCTTATATAATGGACATCCAAGGGGGAGTGTTATGAATATTATAACATGTGGATGTCCATCTCCTCTTCTTCCTCTTCCTCTTCTTCTCAACTTCATCATTAACTCCCACTACTTCCGCTAGGCATTGATCTTCCACTACTCCATTACCTTTCCACTATGCCTTTAATCTTGTAACTTTCCCAACTCATATTCATGTGATTTATTGTCCACTATCTATCATTTAAGTACCAATGTAACTTATGTGTAAGACTATGCTTATAAATAAGGCATGCCATTGTATTGTGATGCAAGTGAAACAAGTAAAAGAATACAATATTATTCTCTCATTTTCTTGTCCACTTCTCTTCTCCAATCTACTTTCATTGTTGGTTAATTCCATAACAGAATCCTTAATATAAGATCCAGTTAACTAATTTGAAAATATTAAATAAATTAAATAAATTATTTACTTATTTTTTTTCTGAACTAATTTTCTTAAACCCTATATATTATATGTGATTATAAATATATAATCTAATTATACACTCAAATATTTTAGATAGATCATATAATATAAGTTATAATTAAATAAATTATTTAACTTATTTAATATTACTTTTGATTGAAATTTAATGTTAAAATCGACACATATATCTCGTGGCTAAAAGTAAAAAATAGAGACATCCATATCAATAGACCCCACCCCATTTTTCTTTTTGAATGAATCAAAATGATATAAATAATAATTTTTTTGGAGTGAGATATAAATAATAAATGCCCTGTTTTACTTGATTCTTTTAAAAGTGATACATAAATAAATCACAATAATTCTCATATACGAATGCGATTAAAATTGAAACCAACTTATCGATGGCAGAAAAAATTGAAACCAAATGAGAATATTCTTCAAATTAAGCCACAATAAATTGAGGTAAAAAAATAACTTATAATAAATCAATATCAGGAATAAATTACTTAGAATTAAAATAATTTCCGTCTTGATTTTTTTTTTTTTTGATTTGGCATTATTTACTGCCTCCAAAAACTAATACCAGTACTAAAATGTTATAATTAAGAAAAATCAGTAATAAGAAAGCCCCAGGATTCTGAATTTTCGGACCTCGTCGACCGCCCAATCCTCAGTGGAAAGCTTTGTTGAAGGATCTGAATTTCTGAATGCAACTGAAGATGTCATTTTGGAGAGCTCCTTCAAGGTATTTCTTCTCCCGATTTCCTTTGTTTTCTGCAGCTTCTACGTCTACCTTCCTTCTTCCTCCCTCACATGCCCCGACTCCCATTTCTGTTTCCATTCCAATTCGACAAATCCTCAGAATATTGAGGAGGCCGTCTCTTCTTTTAATCTCTTGCTTCATGTGCGCCCCCAACCCTCGATAATACAAATTACTAAGATCTTAGGAGCTCTTGCAAAGTTGAAACATCATCGAACAGTTATCTCCCTTTTTGCACAAGCGGAATCTAAGGGATTCACGCCATCTCTTGTAACGCTGAGCATCTTAATTAATAGTTACTGCCATTTGGGTCAAATGGCTTCTGCTTTCTCTGCCTTAGGCAAGATTCTTAAGATGGGCTGTCAGCCAGATACGATTTCTTTGACCACACTAATGAAGGGCCTTTGCATCAATAATGACGTTGGAAAAGCCTTGGATTTTCATGACGATCTGATAGCAAAAGGATTTCAGTTAAATGCAATTAGCTATGGCACACTGATCAATGGACTATGTAAGACTGGAAGAACAAGAGCTGCCGTTAAATTACTCATAAAAATGGCGAGAGGGCCAGTTAAGCCTGACTTAGTTATGTATAGTACGATTATTGATGGCTTTTGCAGGGAAAGACTCATAACTGAAGCTTGTGATTTATTTCATGAAATTATTGATCACGGAATATCTCCTAATGTTGTAACCTACAGCTCTTTGATAGATGGTTTTTGTGTCATGGGTAAAAAGGCAGAAGCTACAAAATTGTTCAATGAAATGATACTTCAAGGCATTAACCCTAATGTGTATACTTTTAACATATCGGTCGATGCATTTTGTAAGGAAGGAAGTATGACTAAAGCTGAAGCTTTTGTTGCCATGAAGATGAAGTATGGTACAATGCCTGATCATGTTACTTACAACTCTTTAATGGACGGTTACTGTTTGATCAATAATGTTGGTGAGTCAAGAGAATTACTCAATAAGATGGTCAATAGTGGTTTGGCTCCTGATATTATTAGTTACAGCATTATGATCAATGGACTTTGTAAAATCAAGATGGTGGATGATGCCGTGAATCTCTTTAAAGAAATGCGTCATAAAAGCTTGACTCCCAATACTATCATCTATAGTTCCCTTATCGACGGTTTGTTCAAGTCAGGCAGAATCTCTGATGTGCAAGATGTTATTTATGAGATGCATGGTAGTGGCCATACTCCTGATATAATATTTTACAGTATTTTATTAGATGGATTGTGCAAAAGTCAACATCTTGACCAAGCAATTGCATTATTTAAGCGAATTGTTAACCAAGGAATTTGGCCTGATACTTACACATATACCATACTTATTGATGGTTTGTGTAAGGGTAACAGATTAAGTGATGCGCAACAGATTTTCCAGCTTCTTTTGGCTAATGGTTATCCTTTGAATGTCCAAGCATTTACTGCCATGATCAAGGGACTTTGTAAAGAGCGTTTATATGATGAGGCAAAGGGCTTGCTCTATAAAATGAAAGAGAATGGATGCTTACCTGATGCTATAACTTTTGAAACACTTATTATACCTCTTTTGGAAAAAGGTGAGAATGATGAGGCAAAGAATCTTGTCGACAAATTATTCAGCAAGGTCTCTTGAAATGATAGAAGGTTTGTCACTCTACTCCATATTTTGTGTTACCGGTGTTCATGATGGAAAAGGGTGGCCAATGTGTTTTTTTAGGGGAAAAAGTTTGGCTGTAGTGATGTTTGTAAGGTCATATGTTTTACTTATTTATTTATTACTTTTGTTGTAACTGGTGGTTTCTTTTTTTTTTTTTTTTTATGGCTTTACATGAGCTTGATGGAACATGCTCACACACACTGGCATCTATCACCAAACTGACGCCTAGAATTCCTCTTCTCCCTATAGTAATTCCATCAGATCAGAGCACTAGACATATCTCACTCCTGTAATTCCTCTCCTCTCTCACCTTTGGTTGCTTAGTTTCATCATTTTTGCAAGCGCATCTAAAAAGCTCCATGCACCCTAGACTTTTTCAGGTTCATCACTATTTAAGAGGCCTACTTAAGCACGAGAATCTATAAATGCAAAATTTGCTTGTTCCAGGTATGGAACAGAGAGAGAGAGCATGGCAAATCATTCAATCGACACATGCCCGACAGAAAAAGCAAGATGCTGAAAATTCAACTGGTCGAAGATCTTGTTCTAAGACTGATTGTAAAGCAAGCAAGCATGTAAAAAGAAGGCTTGATGGAAAATGGGTAATGCATAGTTTTGTGAAGGAATGTAATCATGAGCTTTTACCAGCTTTTTTTTTTTTTTTGGTCAAGAGCTTTTACCAGCTTAAGCTGTCGGTGAGCAAACAAGAAAATTTTTTGCTGCAATGGCTAGACAGTTCGCTGAATACAAAACCGTGGTTGGTCTGAATTGGGGCCTGGAGTGAGGGGATGCCAAGCTTCTACTTGATTTTTGGGTGCAGATGTGCAGTATGAATTCAAATTTCTTTTGCGCAGTAGATATTGGTGAGGATCAACGTCTGAAAAATCTTTTGTGATGTAGTCTTTTTTGACACCATCTGTGTTAGAAACAAATATAAGTTACCTCTTGTGCTTTTTGTTGGAGTAAATATGCACTATCAATTTATACTGCTTGGGTGTGGCTTAATATCAGATGAAAGTTGTAACATAATAGAGAATATCTGTTGTTTATATGGATCTTGTTAATAAATGGTAAAAGGGTTCAGTGGTAAAGATCTTGCAGAGGTGTTTGGTTGGTTGGTTGGTTGGTTGGGTTGTAGTTCTGATTCCCTGGGCTATATGTTTAGTTTTAATCAGGGTATTGTAGTTTGCCATAAAAATTTTCAAATGTTCTTCATTTTCCATTAGTTCATACTCAGTATATCATCAGTCTTTTGCTTCTTTTCTCCTATATGAAAGGAGAAATTTCTACATGTACTCCTTGAAATTAAGATAACCAGTCAAAATTTGTGCATTAGGGGATGCCATTATGCATTCTGATTGGAGTTTCCTTTAGTTCCTTGCTCATATTTTCCTGGCACTGATGATGACGTGCCATTATAGAGGGGGATTGATGAAGGAAAAAAGTCAATATATGACATAACTGTAATGGCTTTGATTCATTTTTTTATATGTGACTTGCATGTTAAACTCTGAAAAAAATTAAGCCTTTACAAATTAGTCCTCTATTCCTAAATATAAGACTTAAATTGTAATGTAAATTTAGTATTCTTTTTGTAATATAATTTACACTATAAAAGGGGTTTTATATTTAGGACCGGAGAAGTATATTCATATGCTATTTGATACCTTGGACCTTTTGGATAAGCATACAGTCTTACTTTTTTTTTTTTTGGGACTGTGAAATTGTCTTATGTTTATAACTAGAGAGTATTTGTATCTCTTTGTACTCACTCACCCAAATTACCCAATATTGATTTAAATTTTAATAGCAAAACAGAATACTGTGAAAAGAGAAGGTCTCATTACTCTTTTGTAATAATGTGTTACTTTTGTATTTTTCCGGTCCCATAATATTGTGTTGGAAAAAAAGATATGAGGTTGATACAAGTATTTAAATAAGTTACCAATATCTAATAATTTTCTACTTTTTAAGAGTTGTTTTGTTATTTAAACTTGACTATTGTTAAAGTAAACTATCAATTATATTATCTTAAATTTTTAATATAAGATCTAATTAACTAATTTGAAAAGATTAAATAAATTACTTACTTATATTTATTTTTTTTCAAACTAATTTTCTTAAATCAGAAACTAATACATAATATGTGATTATAAATATATAATCTAATTATCCACTCAAATATTTTAGATAGATCATATAAGTGATAATTAAATAATTTATTTAACTTGTTCAATCTTACTTTTGATTGAAATTTTAATTTTAAAATAGACACATATATCTCGTGGCTAAAAGTAAAAAATACAGACATCCATGTCAATAGACCCCACCCCCATTTTACCACCTTTGGTCCTAGAGTTGATTAATTTGAGTACATTAAGAAAATAAGTTAAGTCAGTTATTTGTAATAAATAAATATTATCTTTTTTAAAATATTTTTACTAATTAAATGTATTAACTAGAACTACCATTATTAGAAGGGTTATCTTGAAAAAAATACATAAATATGAGAGACAAAGTATATTGGGATCTTATATTTAGAATCAAAATAAAAATTAAACAATACTTTATATTAAGGACCAGAGGTAGTAAATAATAATTTTTTGGAGTGAGATATAAATAATAAAATGCCTTGCTTTACTTGATTTTTTTAAAAGTGATACATAAACAAATAATTCTCATATATGAATACGATTCAAATTGAAACCAAATTATGATGGCAGAAAAAATTGAAACCAAACGAGAACATTCTTCAACTTAAGCTACGGTAGATTGAGGTAAGAAAATAACTTATAATAGATAAACATAAGGAATAAATTACTTAGAATTAAAATAATTTCCTTCGTGACTTCTTTTTTTATTTGGCATTATTTACTGCCTCGAAAAACTAATACCAGTAGTAAAATGTTAAACTCCTCCGTCCCCTATAAGATTCAATTTTTTAAATATGTATGTTCTTTTTTATAAGATTTTTTTGAATTTATCAGAGCATTTAATATATTATTATCTATTTTATCCCTAATTTAATACATTTAATATATATTTTTATTTATTTCACTATTTTTCTTTCATATCTACCCATTTATATATAGGAGTATATTTAAAAAAATTATATTTGCTACATATTAATTATTTTTAACTAATTTTAACTGTTTTCTTAAACCGTATAATTTAGTTAAAAAATTATATGATTGATTTTTACTATTACTCTTTCACATTTACCAATTTATAACTATTTTCACATCTACCCATCTTAAACCGTATGTTTTTGGTAGAAGCATCTAATCCATAAGCATCAAGTGAAAGTTCTAAGAAGATGAGTGGTCATTAAGAAACAAAAGCTGTAACTTCAGGTAAGCTTTAGTATTAATGGTTTTGGTAGCAACAAGCCTAAAGCACTCTAGTAACTTAAAGGAGCATGCCTTGAAAAAAATGTCAAACTTGTAGCGGCATAATTGATAATTCATAACTACAATATCAGTAAGCCTTATGTTCATCATGTATACTATATAACGCTATTATACTCTATGCATTACAACTCTATAAACATAATTAAGTATCTGTATGAGCTTTACTTATCTTTATAAGATTAAGGATCATATGCTTGACTATCCTAAATAACACCTTTGGCAATAATTGGCATCCTTCTTGTTTTTTTCCCTTTTATATGGGTATTTGACTAGGTTAGATTCGATCAAAGTTGGGCCCAATTTAATTAACTTTTTACAAAGACGTTTTTTGCATTCACATGGACTAGGACTCGAACTCAAGAACTCGTGCTTGAACAGCTAAAGTCCCTTTCACTATGATCAACACCTATTGTTTTTCATTTTTTTTTTCCTTTTAAATGTCTAAATTACTAAATGAATTTTTTGAAGCACAAGGCTGAAGTGATAATTTTATGAAGCACAATTGATGGTTGATAAATATTGAACAAATGAATAGCAATTATGATAATTGATAAATATTAAACAAACACTTTCTGAGATTCTTGTAAGCACTATCTTTTTACACGTTTTGTTTCTCATCCGAATTGGGTAGAACTTGTATTGTTAGTTAGTTATCGAATGAAATGGACAATTAGAAATGGGAAATCAGTTCATTTTCACTGATCAATGGCTCCTCCCTGATAAGTCTTTAAAATCCGTGTGTAGAAAACCTCTGACTTTGGAAGGAGAGCAAAATAAAGTTGCTGACTCGATTGATTTTGGTGCTTGGGACTTCGAGTGCCTAGTTCCTATCATTCCCAGTGAAATCTTACCAACACTTATTTCCATGCTACCTCTAATGCTTGAAGCTGGTGAGGATGCTCTTTCTTGGAATGCTACTGGGTTTTTATGTGGATTGCTTTTAGTAACAGATTGCCTGCTAATGTCTGGATAAACCTTTGGTCCTCTACTTCAGCTTTTCGACCCTAGGTATTTATCTTCTTTTTTCGCTGTTCATATTCATGATTGGTTTGCTTTAAATCTGAAAAGAGATTTTGGTGTTCATGCCTTGGGAAACTGGGATTTAAGTTGGGGGTGTAACCACTCAGAAACTTTGGAAATGGAGGAATGAAGCTGTCTTTAAGACTGATTTCTCTAGACCTTTGGAGCCTGCCTCTTCTATTACTGGGAAACTGAGAAAAGTTTTGTTCATTTGCAGAAAATTGACTTTGTTAAATTGTCTAACTCCCCAACGAAAGGAAGAGTGGCGGACGAGTGAGTAACGCATAAGAATCTGCCCTTATAGGAGGGAACAATAGCTGGGAACCGCTGCTAATACACCGGAGGCTGAGGAGCAAAAAAGGAAGATTCCATCTGAGGAGGGGCTTGCATCTGATGTATTACTCAAAACTGAAAAAAGTTTTGTTCATTTGCAGAATATTGACTTTGTTCAATTGTCCAACTCCCCACGGCATGCGTGGCAACGTCAACCCTTGAATTGGGTTAAATTAAATGTTGATAGAGTGATGTCCTCTTCTAGAAACCGAGCTAGTTGTGGGGGTGTTTTTAGAGATCATATGCGCTCGTGGACTGTGGAATTTTCTCATAGCCTTCGCATTTGTAGTGCGTTTGAAGCAGAGCAATGGGCTGCTCTCAAGGGGTTGCTAATGATTGCCTGGGATTAGATTCCGCCACTCTCAGTTTATTTGCTGTTTTAGGGCCTTAGCCCCCTTCTGTATCCCGGAAAAAAAAAAATCTAGTAATTTGCCTGCCGTGGTATTTTGAAGAGATAATTCTTAGCGTTCGTAACCCAAATATATATATATATATGGACAAAACTTATATCAAGTTACTTAAGTCCAGTATGTCAAGTTAGCCAATCAAACTATGACAGCTAAATTAATTTTACACATCATCATTTAATCCCAAAATAACTCTTAAACACCGTTAAAATAAGGCTGACAAAATATCCTCTTCTTTTTTTTTTTTGGTTCAGTGACAAAAAATATCTTTTCTTCTAAACGCCATAAAATTTCTTATATGTCCAAGCAACTCTAGTCACTGATTCATAAACACTTTATTTCTCCTTATTAGAAAATATGAAAGGGAATGGTGCTTCCTCCCTTTTTTTAAAAAATCCTATCTCAACAGCATAAGAAGATTCACAATGAAGATTTATGACTGATTCAATCAATATATGAAATCAAACTAAAAAATAGTTCAGAACTGTTTGGAGCAGGCAGGTAAAGGAATCTGACTATGATGGATAAATTCTATAAGTCAAAAAGCAATTTGTAGCCCATAGGCCAATTCGTGCATCCTCTCCCTTATTGGTTGTGTTGTTGTCAGTTCGAGTCACGGCCAATTCTACTCACCAGCTAGTGTATTAATGGCCGCTGCAAGTTCTTACTTTGTGATCATAAATGTATAATCTAATGATACACTCAAATATTTCATATAGATTATATAATATACAGTTATAGTTAAATAATTTATTTAACTTATTTAATCTCATTTTAATTGAAATTTTAATGTTAATATAGACACATATATCTCGCGACCAAAAGTTAAAAAGCAGAGGCATCCATTTCAAGAGATCCCCACCGCCTTTTCTTTTGAATGAAGTCAAAATGATACAAATAATAATTTTTTTGACAACGATATAAATAATGAAATGCCTTGGTTTCCTTGCTTCTTTTAAAAGTGATACATAAATTAAAAATAATAATTATCATATATGAATATGATTAAAATTGAAACCAAATCAGAATACTCTTAAAATTAACCTATAATAAATTGAGGTAAAAAATTAACTTATAAAACTTAGGTTGGCAAAAAATGTAGGCAAGACCTGCAAAAATAACAAGAATGTGGTTCAAGTCGTGTCCGAGAACACTGTCTTTAAGAGTTATTCCGCCACACAGGTTAGAATAAAATGCGGCACTCCCTAAGATTAAACGAACCCTTTTTGCGTGGAGCAAGGTAACAGAACAGCAGAAATTTAAAACTCAAGAGAAAAAAGAGAAAGGAGAAGAGCTCGGGGATAGAACTCGACACACACTGACCATGCACCACGCATCGCCTTTTATAGGCAGATGATATGTGACCTTTGGGCTACCATAATGGTGATTAAAAATGATTTTAATAACAATTAAATGAGCGGTTTTTAAACAATTAATTAAGGTGAATTAAAACATATATTAAGGCACTGAATATGATTTATGAAAAAATAAAACCGACTAATTAAAATACATAAATGCTTCAACCGTCATCTCTAACGGTCAGTTCTAAAAACTTCTCTTCTCAACAATTTTATTAGTTCAAACTCACATCTTAGTAAACGCTACTAAGGTTTTCTCAATCTTGAGTAATATTGAACTTCTTTTGACACACTTATACATTGAAACTCCAACAAAAAAAACTATAAAACTTAGGCTAGCGAAAAAATTACTCAGGATTAAAATAATTTCCTTACTAATTCTTTTTTATTTGGCATTATTGCTGTCTCGAAAAGCTAATACTAAATGTTACATACGGCAAAACCTATCCGAAGAAAATTTCGGTGCGTCTCTGGTGGCAAGCACGCCTTCGTCTTCCTCGTTGAATTCTTTGGTCGAGGATCTGAATCTGAATTCTGAATGCAACTGAAGATGTCATTTTGCAGAGCTCCTTCACGGTACGTCTTCTTCCGATTTCCTATGTTTTCTGCAACGTCTACATCTACCTTCCTTCTTTCTTCCCTGCATGCCTTTACTCCCCATTTCTGTTTCCGTTCCAAGTGTACGAATCCTCAGAACATTGAAGAGGCCGTCTCTTCTTTTAATCGCTTGCTTCATGTGTGGCCCCAACCCTCGATAATACAAATTAATAAGATCTTAGGAGCTCTTGCAAAGTTGAAACATCATCGAACAGCTATCTCCCTTTTTGCACAAGCGGAATCTAAGGGATTCACGCCATCTCTGGTAACGCTGAGCATCTTAATTAATAGTTACTGCCATTTGGGTCAAATGGCTTCTGCTTTCTCTGCCTTGGGCAAGATTCTTAAGATGGGCTATCAACCAAATACGATTGCTTTGACCACACTAATGAAGGGCCTTTGCATCAATAATGACGTTGGAAAAGCCTTGGATTTTCATGACGATTTGATAGCAAAAGGATTTCAGTTAAATGCAATTAGCTATGGCACACTGATCAATGGACTATGTAAGATTGGGAAAACAAGAGCTGCTGTTAAATTACTCATAAAAATGGCGAGAGGACCAGTTAAGCCTAACTTAGTTATGTATACTATGATTATTGATGGCTTTTGCAGGGAAAGACTCATAACTGAAGCTTGTGATTTATTTCATGAACTGATTGATCATGGAATATCTCCTAATGTTATGACCTATAGCTCTCTCATAAACGGTTTTTGCGTCCTTAATAAATGGCCAGAAGCTGCCAAAGTGCTTAATGAAATGATACTTAAGGGCGTCAACCCTGATGTTTGGACTTTTAATATATTGGTCGATGCATTTTGTAAGGAAGGAAGTATGACTAAAGCTGAAGCTCTTGTTGCCATGATGATGAAGTATGGTACAAAGCCTGATCATGTTACTTACAACTCTTTGATGGATGGTTACTTTTTGTTCAATAATTTCCTTGAGTCAAAAAAACTATTCAACAAGATGGTCAATAGTGGTTTAGCTCCTGATATTATTAGCTATACCATTTTAGTTAATGGATTCTGTAAAATGAAGATGGTTGATGAGGCCATGAATCTCTTCAAAGAAATGTGTCGCACAAGCTTGACTCCGGACATTGTCACCTACTGCTCCCTTATCGACGGTTTGTTCAAGTCAGGTAGAATCTCTGATGTTCAAGATATTATTTATGAGATGCATGTCAGTGGACATACTCCAAATATAATATTTTACAATATCTTATTAGATGGACTTTGCAAAAGTCAACATCTTGACCAAGCAATTATATTATATAAGCAAATTGTTAATCTAGGAATTCGGCCTAGTACTTACACATATACCATACTTATTGATGGTTTGTGTGAGGGTAACAGGTTAAATGATGCATGGCAGATTTTCCAGCATCTTTTGGTTAATGGCCATCCATTGAATGTGCAAGCATATAATGCTATGATCAAAGGACTTTGTAAAGAGCGTCTGTATGATGAGGCAAAGGGCTTGCTCTATAAAATGAAAGAGAAAGGATGTTCACCTGATGCTATAACTTTTAAAACACTTATTATCCCTCTCTTGGAAAAAGGTGAGAATGATGAGGCAAGGAATCTGATTGATGAATTATTCGTCAAGGTCTCTTGAAATGATAAAAGAAGGTTAGTCACTCTACTCCAAGTATGTGTCACTTGTGTTCATGATGAAAGAAGTTGACAAATTTGTTTTTTCTGGAAACAATTTGTTTTGCTCTACTCGCTGATTGCAATTTAATTTTTTTTTTTAGTCATATGTTTTGTGTGTGTATACTCCTCTAATCCTAAATATAAGACCCTTTTTGTAGTGTACTCTACAAAAAGGGTCTTATATTTAGGACCGGGTGAGTATTACTTTTGGTTTTACTGGTGGTTTCTTTTTGTTTTTTTTGTCTTGACAAAGTTTGATGCAAGGCACTCACACGAGCATCTATCACCAAAATGACACCTAGAATTCCACTCCTCCCTATAGTAATTCCATCAAATCATAGCGCCAAACGTACTTCACTCTAATAATTCCTCTCCTCTCACATCTTTAGTTGCTTAATTTCAAGCGCATGTGTCGGGGGGGGGGGGGGGGAATTAAGTTACCTCTTCTGGTTTTTGTTGGAGTAAACCTGCATTATCAATTTATACTGTTTGGTTGTGCCTTAATATCAGATGAACCTGCTGCTGCTTGTTCTTGGCTGAAAGCAGTTGGTCGCCAGGCTCCAGAAGTGGTCATCATTGATCTTGACAAGACATTAAAGACAATTATTTTAAATGTCTTTCCTAATGCTCATCACTGATCTTTGAGAAGAGGTGGTCAAAAATTGTTGATAGGTTTGAGCTCTGCGAGGATGAATGCAAGCAGTCATTGTATGATAGTTGCGACATACTCCTCTGGTCCTATTTATAGGGCAGAGAGAGAAGGTATTTTTTGATCTTATTTATAGGGCACTGAGAGAAATTTTTTGTGTGGATGTACAATTTTACCCCCATTTATTATTGTGTTGATTTTGTTTATATGAGGTATAATGTATATTAAATAGGGATAAAGTTGGAATGTCATTAAATTTTAAATGATAATTAATAAAGTTTAAGGTTTTTTTTTGTCTGTGTGAAATATGTTGGAAGTGCCTTATAAATAGGATTAGAAAAGTAATACAGAATACCTGCTGTTTATTATAGATCTTGTTAATAAATGGTAGAAGGGTTTAGTTTTAAAGATCTTGAAGATTTGGTTGGTTGTATTCTTGTTTTGATTCTTTAGACGTCAAGTTAAGTTGTGATCAGTATTGTAGTTTGTCATAAAAATTTTCAAATCTTCTTCATGATTCTTTATATGTGACTTTGTTAAACTCTAAAAATTAAGTATTGACAAATTACATTCATATGCGATTTGATACCCTTGGGTCTTTAGGATGAGCATGTTGTTGGGTTGGTTCAAGGATTTATTTTTGGGTTTAGCCGTGGCTTCCTCTTCCTCCTTTTCTTTACTGTGTGTTTTTTGTACAAGCATTCAGTCCATGGTGATGAATTTTGGAAATTGGATGTACAATTGACAGCTTTAAGCCTTGCTTAAAATATATGTGCTACATCCCCTCCCTTAAATTTTCTTTTTTCATTTTAAATTAAAAAAGAATTATTAGCTTTTTTACCATGGATGACAACTTTTTTTATCTGGTACCTAGCAGATAAGAAGAGCATTGATATTTTTTCCCCCAAGGGCTAGCACTTTCTAGCTTTCGCTAGATCCTACCCACATTGACATCTAGTTTATATCATAGCTAAATGGTTTAATTGCATTTTTAGTCTTTTGATTTTGATTTTATACAATGTTTTAATTTGTTTTTTTTAACTTTAAAAAGTATATTTTTAGTCTTTCTATCCTATGATTATAAATAAAAAATGATGATATTGAGATTTTAAATGGTAATAAAATATTCTGAAGTGCTAACATCTTAAGTTTAGTTTTCAAGAAAATCATGATTATTATAAAAAAAAATTTAACACTAAAGATTTTAGAAATAACTAAAAATATACTTTTTTAAGTTAAGAGACAATGTTAAAACTTTGAATAAAGTTAAATAAATTGATAAAAATTCAAAGATTAAAAATATTAAAATATTAAATTCAAAAAATTTGTTTGTTAAAACGGGGTACAAACCCCGGGGGGGTTATGGTCCCTGATGGAATGGAATTTGCAATTCATTTTTCAACCTCCAAACTTAAATATAAAGCAAAAAAAAAGTATTCCAAATGTCCATATTGATTTAAATTTTAATAATAAAACAGAATAATGTTGTGTTCTTCATTTAAAAAAGAAAATCTCATGAGTATTTATCATAAGAGTAAAATATTCTGATCTCTTTTGCATTTTACTCTGATTATATAGATTTCCACTCTATTTTGAAAAGCATAAACTTAAATCTAAATAGTTAACTTAGTTAACTATATTCTAAAAAAAAAATATTTTGGCCAAATTTTTTTGAATAATTTAAATTTTTTATTTTTCCTTATTTTTATTTTTATTTCTTGTAAAAATTCAACTTTTAATGTTTTTGTCATATTTGGATAGAACATTAAGTAATTTAGTAAATGTAGACATAAAAATTTTGAATGTAAATTTTATTAATTTTTTAAGTAAATATATAATTGACTAAATAAGTTATAAATGTTTCTAACTGTTATGAATATAATAATATCTCTGCGGATGTCCATATATCTCCCATTATCTTCTATATCTTCTATAATCTCCAATATCTCCCATTATATATATATCCTACAATTATCTCGTATTATTATGTAATCTGTAGATTCTATCAAAGGTATAAAACTGTGCCTAAATAGAGGCCATGTATAATGTATTGAGTACTCCTAAATGGAATGAGAAATACTCTCTCTTGTTAATCCTCTCTTCCTCTGTATGATTCTTTCATATTTCTTCTTTATTTATAACACGTTATCAGCACGAGGCTCTAATTAAGGTGCGTATGATATACCTTTCTACCCTAACATAATTTTAGAGCATCATCTTTATTATTTTTCTAGAGTATCCTTAGCTCTGTTCAAATAAAAATGTCTCAAGCATTATATATATGTGTTTCAGAGTATTTGTATTCCTATTCAATTTATCTAGAATATTCTAAGCCATTATATGGAATTAAAAGATTATCTACCGTTGTTTTAAACATCGGGTTCCATGGCTGTGATTGGAGATTTTGCTTTATTTTTTTTATTGCTATAATTTAATTTTGATATAAATATTATACATTCTGAACTAATTATGATAAGAGGTTTTTTTTCCCATCTATTTCTTATTGACCTGACATCACTATTTTGATGGAACCCAAAATTCCAATAGATACTAGCAGTATCCTTAAAGAGTTACCACCTAAAATTTAATGACTAAAAGCTATATAATTCTAAATTTTCATCTCATTGTAATTAAATGACCAGAAGCCATATAACTATGATTTTTCATTCTTTTCAAATTAAATGGTTAAAAGCCATGTGATTTTGATTTCTTATATTATAGCCAGAAGCTATATAATTTTGATTTTTTATCTTATAGCTAGAAGCCATATATATGGCTAATTTTCTATTTTTTTAAATGGTTTGAAGCCATATATATTTGATATTTTATCTTATTAAATAACTAGAAATATTTAGGAATAACTTTTCCATCTTATGGCTAGAAGCCATATAATTTGAATTTTCTATTTTATGGCCAAAAACCATATATATTTAATTTATCTTTATTTATATATCATACTGAATTTTCTATTTTATGGCCAGAAGCCATATATATAGAATTTTTCTATATCCTTTTAAATGGCTCGCATCCATATAATTTTGATGTTCTATCTTATAGCTAGAAGTCATAAATATTTATTTATTTTTGTTATTTTATTAACTGGCTAGAAGCTATATAACATCAAATTTTTATCTTATGGTCAGAAACCATATATCTTTAACTTTTTTTATTTGGAAATTAAATAACTAGATACCACGTATCTTTATTTTTTTTATTAAATGGCCTGAAACCATATAGTTTTGATTATGAGAATGATCACTATATGGTTTGTTTATAAAAGAAAAATTATAACAATTAGAATTATAAATAATGTAACCCAGAAAACTAATGACTATATAGTGAAATATGTATTGGTAAAAGAGTTTATCTTTTCTCTTTATGTCATGTTACATTTAAATTTGAAATTTAAGTTTTATTTTTATCTTATTCTCATATATTCTTGACATTCAATTTGATATTTATTAATATTATGCTATTACTAAATGGCCAGCAACCATTATACTCATGTTATCAAATGACATGAAAATAATAATTTATGATGCTTTTAAATCCCCGAAAGCTTATGGTTCAAATATCAAGTGATACAAATAATTTTTAAAATATATATATTTACTAATAGAGTCTTGAAGACTAATGACTTATAATAGTCCTGAAGGCTTATGATTTAAATATTTGTAACTATATAGTTTGATTTTAGTTCTTATAGATCTTTTCAAATTTTTGTTGAATTTATAAATTTATGAATAAGTTTTGAAGCATTACATAATCTATACAAAAAATAAAATTTTTGAATAACAAAATATCGAGAAAATATATATTTTTTGTTCAAAAAATAATACTTCATATTTTAAGTATAAGAAAAAGTGAAGTATATCATATAGTGAAATAATAATATATTTTAGTTCCTGAAGAACTATATATAGCATTTTCTTTTTGAAGAACTATATTTAATCAAAAAAATTAATATAATTCTAGAAAAACTAATAACAAAATATTAATATAGTTCTTGAAGAACTAGTAACAAAATCGATATAGTTCTTGAATAACTAATGTAGTTCCCCCCATTATTTTTGTGGGTAGAAAAAGAATTGATAATGAAAAATGATGACCCACAAACATATATATTAGAATATTTGCTTATCAAAGGGTATTAAGGTGATAGCTCAATTGGATTGAAATCTATTATTATATATGAATCATGAAGTATTTGGATTTCCAAGTTAAAGATATGTTATTAGCTTACTATATATTATTCACTGTATTTGAAATACAAAAATAAGAAAAATATATTTATATGACCCACACTTGAGGGGGAGATTGTTTAAATACAAGTGTGAATCATGTTGGATGGAATTTGTTATTATTTATATTAATGTCATTCCTTATATCTCATATTCTTTTTGAAAAAAAGCTCCAGAAGAGCCAGTAGCGCTCAACCTTCCATGAGTGCACAAGTTTCTACCGTTTGGGTAAAAGATAAAAACTAACGCTCTAAAAGAGCTATATCATAATTTATTATCCTAAAGATAAAATTCATAATTGATAACATATTCCTTATGGAATATTAAGGTGAAAAATGAATTAATCTGACATGGTAATAAGAAGTTTGCTAATAATTGAGAATAATTTTATAATAAACCAGAAGTTTATGCATTCATAGTTTGGCATGACCGGTCAGATCATCCTGGATCATAATAATACAAAGTATCATGAAAAATGTATATTGTCATTTATTAAAGAACCGGAAGATTCTTTAAAAATGATATATGATTCAAGAATTTTTATGTGTTGTTTGTTCTTAAAAGAACTAAATAAGAGAACATCACTAGCTATGCTCAAAATCGGATCCGTGCAGATTTATAATGTATCAACTTTATATGGGCCTATTTAGACACCATGTTGACCAAAATAATACTCTATAAATGAAAGATGCATCTATAAAATGGTCACAGGTGTTTATGATCAACTTGCAACCTGAAGTTTACAAATATGTTTAGATAATTACATGGAGTACATAAGTTCTTGATTATGAAATTAATATGATTATCGTTGAGATTACTAGTGATTGTTCCTCTCGTTGCTAATGATTATATGCTTAGTAAAGCCTCCATAAGTAGCTAGATCAGAGTTT